GGCTCCAGGCGGTCCCTGCCGGACGGCACACCGCTTCGGCTCCTTTTTAGGACTTTTTTCATTTTTTTTAACTAAAATACAACCACTTTTTTTTACTTTTTTTTCCCCCCTTCTCCCTCGTTTCATTTTTTATTTTCGCGCTAGGCTGCTCCCTCCCCTCTCTTCCTCTCCCTTTCCTTTTTGGACCCGCTCTTGCCTTTGCTCGGCTCCCTGGGGGCAGCGTGGGCACCATGTCCTTCGACCCCACCATCATGCCACCTGCGAACGGCTCTGCCAACGGGACTGCCACTGGGGCCGAGGGCGGGAAGCCCCCCACCATCCCCACCGTCATGTTCATCTTTGGCGTGGTAGGCAACCTCATAGCCATCGTGGTGCTCTGCAAGTCCAGGAAGGAGCAGAAGGAGACCACATTCTACACGCTGGTCTGCGGGCTAGCGGTCACCGATCTCCTGGGGACCTGCCTGGTGAGTCCGGTCACTATTGCCACTTACCTGCAGAACCGCTGGCCGGGAGGACCAGCGCTGTGTGAGTACAGCTCCTTCATCCTCCTCTTCTTTGGACTCTCTGGCCTTAGCATTATCTGTGCCATGTCTATAGAGAGGTACCTGGCCATCAATCATGCCTATTTCTACAACCATTATGTAGACAAGAAGCTGGCAGGGCTCACGCTCTTTGCCATCTATGCTTCCAACGTGCTGTTCTGCGCCCTCCCCAGCATGGGGCTTGGCAAATCTACCTTGCAGTACCCTGACACTTGGTGTTTCATAGACTGGCGAGCAAAAGAGGCCACCCATGCGGCATATTCCTACATGTACGCCGGCTTCAGCTCCTTCCTAATCATGGTCACCGTGATCTGCAACATCCTGGTGTGCGTGGCCCTCATTCGCATGCACCGCCAGTTCATGAGACGTACGTCCTTGGGGACAGACACCACCTCCAGCCGTTTATCTGACTTTCGCAGACGCCGGAGCTTCCGTCGGATGGCCGGAGCAGAGATCCAGATGGTTATTCTGCTCATTGCCACTTCCCTGGTGGTGGTCATCTGCTCCATTCCTCTGGTGGTGAGTAATGTTGTGCAACTCTTCTTCTTTTCCATCACCCATACCGCTGAGTCTTTTCTCCTCCTCGTCTGTGCTTGTAGAACAGACTCCTATTTAGCTGGTGCTGCAAACTGTTATAATAACTTAAAGGCTGTTAGCATACATGCATGGTGAGAGAAAGTTGTGTTGATTTATGTTTACAAGAAAAGAAACATGCTTATCCCGAGTCCTGGACTCCTTTGATTGGTTAAAATACAAGGCCAAAAATTCTCAATAATTTTTCCACTGTTTAACTGGAATCCACAAAGCAAAAATCTTACTGAGAGCTAAAGGCACTTCAAAGTTCACTTCTAAAATTAATTTGTGATGAGTGAGGTTTGGGTCTGGCCTGCATTTCTGGATGTTTATTGTGTTTTAAAAATGTGCACGCTATTGCTGAAGGGCACAGCGTTTCCTGATGTGCAGAAGGAGGAGCGAGCTCTGTTCACTTGTCACAGAGCGCTTCACACCCAAAACCTGAGCCGAGCTTCCCCTCCTGAGGGGTTCACCCACCACCTCTGGGGTAGATCCCACACTCTTACATCCTTCCAGCAGCTTCCCTACTGTGGGAGGAGTAAACTCTGTGGAAACACTCATCAGTATAATTCTCAGTTAAATGGGAGTTGGAGGAATCTGGCCCACATAAACCTAGAGAGCATACCAAAATGTCAGACAAATTACCACTAACCATTTGCTAATTTTCTGAAATGGCTGATACAATTATTGTCATTCAATTGTACATGCAGGATCCACTTGTCTTCTTTCTGTTCTTCAACCTTATCTCTAAGGAAGACAAAAAAACAACACCACCACCACCAGCTGGAGGCTCAGTTCTTGCTTGCCACCCACCATAATAAAAGTTGGTGAACTTTCTCCTCCTCTGGCTCAGAGACATTAAACAAATAGCTGGCTTGCCTTACTTGCCACCTTCCAAAACACGGTGTAGAGAGCCAAGCAGTGGTTGTCAGACAGAAAATGTTTTCAGAAGGACTGTTTTAAGGGGGTTTATTGTTGGTAGGGTGATTGCTGTGTTGCAGAGAGTCTACAATGTGTGTGAAATACAAGCTGGCCAGGTAGGGATGCAAAAAAAGCGTGTATGCTGCGGTAAAGAAGTTTAGAGAAGTACATGTGAGCAGGACTCAGAGGTCAGGGAGTCCGCCCCCTTGCTTCAGCAGTGCTGTAATTGCGAGGGTCGGGCCAGTTTTGCCACATTACTAGCATAAACAGGAGCCAGCGAACTGTGGCTGTGCTGGAGCACCAGCCGCCCGGCTGTCACCAAAGGCCATCTCCTGTCCTTCGGCATTGTCACTTTGCCTAGTGCCGTGGCAGGACCGAGCATGGGGCCATGCGTGCATTGCTGGACACCTGAAGGAAGTCGAGAGGTGGTGTCCGAGGCGCACACAGGCTGGCTGGGAGGTGCACATGTGTTAGATGGAGGAGCTGTACACAACCTGCTCTGCAGTCCAGCTCCACAGACTGCTGGGGTAAGCAAGCTTGCTGCACCGGGAGGAATCAGGTCATGGAGTGGCCAAAACCCTGACACAGGGCTGTGGTTTAACAGTACTTAATTTGATTAATCTGATATTATAACAGCTACTTCACAAAAGAACAATATTGTGTTTTCAAAAGAGATGCTATTAAATGCAGAGGATGAGTTTGGGGAATTAAATACGGTGTTGTAATGTGATACACGGTATCAGCTAATGGGCTTACGCAGTTTCAGAAAAAAAGCCAGACCTTATCCTGTGGAGGAGCAGCTAGAGGAAGGCTGAGAACTCTGAACATAAAATGCAAAATGAAATTGTTCATATCCATTTGGAGCTAGGCAATCTTTTACAGAATATCTAAAAAAAAAAAATAATCAAGAAGAAGGGGTTACCAGGAAGGGAACTGGATTGTTGACAGTTAAAAGTAATGAACCTGGGTGGGGCAAAAGGCTTATTTAAACAGTAGCTAGTGAAAAACTTGTATATAGCAGAAAGTATGTGAAGGTGCGGGTGGTGAAGTTGTGTAGCTCTCTCAGACCTTGATTTCACTACCAGAAAAGCACAGCATTACCTTGGGAGTGTTCACATAAGTTAGCTTTTCCCTGCTGAAGCAGCATATCTTTTCTATATCTAATATGAGGTAAGAGACTGTAATTTCACTTAGATGGATGACTAAGAAAAAAAGGGAAGCTTTCTTTTTTTTAAAAAAAGAAAACAAATAACCGCATATCTACACATCATCACAGTGTCCGGTGTGGTTAAATTTCTTCATTGTTAAGTAACTTTTGTAAGTCATTTGCCTCCCCCTGCGGGAATAAGCTATAGCCATATATGCTGCTTTGTTCCATGGTGCACTGCAGTGCACTCTGGTTGCTTATAGACTGAAGAATTCAGATATAAACTCAGAGAAGTGACACCTTTATGCTGTAAATCCCTAGAATGAGCCACTGGCAGAAATAGGTAAATGAGTAATACAGAGGCACATTTTTATGACTGAGAAGTTTTAGGGAGCCCTCACTGGGAGGCTCATCTATAACACCACAGCCTGGCAGTCATCAAGAATATGCAAGTGGTAAGGTGGTGGTGGTGGCATGATTCAGATACACAAGGCAGGCGCAGGGGGTGCTTTGTGACTGAAGTTTTCTGATGAGCTGACTTCCTACTGATGATTTCAGCTGAATAAACCATCACTTAAGTCAAAGCAAAGCAACTTCTGAAAGACGTAAACCTCTAACATTTTAGAACGAACACTTTCACAACGTAATAACATAGCAGACAGGCAATCCAGCAGGCTACATTTATGAGGGTTTGACAAAATTTTTAAGTCTTAAAATATTAAATAGCCCTGAAATAATAAGCAAAGGCTTGTCTTGATTTAAAAAGTGGTTAAAGAATAGCGAGCTGAGTCACAGAGAACAGCAGTTTTTAATAATGAGATGCTCCAGCACTCAGTTTACAAGTAGGGTTGTTTAGTGCCTTAATGATTTATTCATAAAATCAGCAAAATTTACAGTGACAACAAGTGCTATAACAAAATTATGGGGGATGGTGCAAAATGCTGAATGAACTTGACAGAACTGGAGACCGATCAAGTTTATCAAGGAAAGAAAAGCTGAACAAAAAACAGTGAGAGGAAACTTTTTATATAACCAGATGTACTCTCAGTGCGCAGAAAGTGATGTGAAAGACATGGAGAAGAATCTGACAGTGGTTTAAAAATGAAATAAGGAAAATATAAAAACTGTGTGCTGACTCTTGTCTGCACTCCACGCTGGTTATCTCATCTTTTAAAATATTGAGAGTTTTTAGAAAATAGAATTGGATAGAGTTAAAAGTAGGGAATAAGTTATATTAGGAGGGATTTTGACAAGAACAGAGGAGAATTTATTGGCCAGCCTTTAAAAAAAAACCAACAAACTCTGAAAGAGTAAATAGGCACACACTACTCAAAGTCTGTAATTCACTCCAGCAGTCTGTCAGATACTCTTCAGATTTTTAAGTGTGTGATCCTGATCACATAAGGTTGTTAAATCATGGTGAAGTGGAAAATAAAATATAATCTGGTTGATTGCATGAAATAATCAGGAGTTTATAACTTAATGTTTAATTGATCTAAAAGTTTGGATTTTCTTTTGGCTTGGTTGACTTCAACTTTTCTCTAATTATCAGGGACTGTCCGCAGCCAACAGCAAAGGTGGCAAGCGTGATTTTTGAGCGATGGAGTAGATACCAAGCAGACACCAAGCACTAGAGGGCAAAGGTTATTGGCTTGTAGAGCTGAAAACTTGTTCCTGCTTCCTAGCATTTTAAAATTTATTTTTAAATTTATCCTGTGAGTATGTAGGGAGATTTTGAGGGCAGACAGAAGCTATGAAGACAATTAACGGTGTGACTGCAACTGTACAAGTCACTTCATGGGATTAGAAATCATTATTTACATCTGTAGTTCGTAAAAAGGAAAAGCAGCAAGCAGCACAAAGGACTCTGACCCTACAAGTACCTATCACTTGCACATAAACTCAACATACCTTGGAGCTACGTGCTTTTTAACACAATTGCAAACAAACTGCCAGTACTTCTAAGATATGTTGCCTGAATTCTACACCTACAAAGCTAACATACAGAACCCATTCTTTTTGAGATTTGAATTGCTCTAGTCTGCTTATTTCTTTAATTAGGATTTCAAATTGCACAAATTCGAGCATCAGATTAGTTAATTTAGTAGTGGATTCCACTTGCTCGGCAGTTACTTAGAAGACGCAAGGCAATATCCTTTAGCATGCTATCTCCTGCAGCAGAAGACTTGTAGCTGCAACAGGATACATCTCTTGCTGTTCTTGTAGGTGATACATTATTAGTAAATGCTGCTTCACCAGTATGTAAATAAATTATAAAACTGGTATTCCAACACAGATTAATTTTTACTTTATTGTGATTAAGATGTAATCCCAGCGATAGATCTGAATTGATACATGCATTTGACATTCTGGGAGGCTTCTAGTAAAACACATGGGACCTTTCTGGGAAGTAGAAACAGTTCTGTGCAGTCAAAAGTTTTCGCTAAATAAGTCCATTTTATGAATCTTTAACCTATATGTGCCACATCTCTGTCAAAAGGAAATAAAGCACACAGAGATCACATAAAGCAAGCTGCACCGTGCAAGTAGCAATTGTCCTTTTCAGACAGAGTCGTCACTTAAAAGACATTTTTATCTTTCTATAAAGTCTGCCATGCAGACAGAGAAAAGTTAAATAGATGCCTCAATTTCATATGGTGCTTATCAAAACAACAATCCCACTATTAAATCACTAACGTGTAACTATAGCTCCAAGTTTGAAAAAAAAGTCAGGTTTCCAGAGTTGGACTGTGTACTTCTTCAGCAATCTTCAAAGTGTGCCTTCTGGTTCTGTGCTCTGGATTAATTTATCAGCATATACCCCTCCCTGTCAACACCTCTAATCTTCCCGGTAATGACTGCATTTAGTTGTACAAGCTGCTATAATTCCTCCACTCCCTCAACATTGTCCTTTGAAGTCCTGGTTCTCAGGGCACATACCTGTCAAAGACATTGACCAGCATTTACACACTTTCAGGGTGCATAAGGAAATCTCAGTACAGAAAAAGAAAAAGAGCATTTGGAAGGAAATGTAGTTTTTTTCAAAACAGGTAGAATCCCCTGGGGAAATTTGACCTTTTTGTATTTATATATTTGACCTTTGTGTATTTATACATTTGACCTCTTACCATTTTGGAGGGGGAAAAAACCTCACACAAATGATCAAGTCAGTATTTCAAGAACAGGTTTTTTAACCAGTGCCGGGCAATGTCACCTCAGTTTATATTCCAGCCTTCCAGGTTCAGGAATCCCAGCTGCTGCATTTCAGGTTCAGCGCTGGTGTTGCTAATAGCAGCTTGACTTGCACAAGCTGATAAATCGACTCACAGACCTTCTCCCTGACTTGCAGAGCTCCCCACAGCTTGCCCGTGTCCATTCGGGACCCCTCTCAGGGCCACGGGGCGGTGGCACTGGGGCGGAGGCAGTGGGACCGTGGGACACCCGTGCCACCTAGTGGTGCACTCAGCAAAGGTGTCCAACAGGCAAATGAGAGACGGGCTTCCCTGCGCACCCCCACCTTCACCAGCAAATGGCAAGAGGTTTTAATTGAGGGCATTTTTAAGGGATCGTCAATGAATGTGGGTATTTAAAAATTCTGGCCTCTGGAAGGGCTGGTGTTCTCTCAGACAGTGATAAATGGAATTCTGTAGTGATGGACATCAGATAGGAGGCTAATGTAAAATAAATAGTGAAAAAAATTAAGGCAAGTAAAGCTTAATAAAAGAAAATCCCATAAAAATAAGTTAAATGTGCATAGGAAGACTCTTTGAAGTACTTGAATTGCATGTTTGGCTTAACAGAAAAATAAGGTCAATAAATTGGTTGTCAAAAAGACACCCATAATGTTAGAAATCATTAGGAAAATAACCGAGAAAAAAACTCAGATCATTATATTGCTGTATAAATTCAAGATTTTCACATATTTTGAGTTCTGTGGGCAGGTTTTGTTACCAATAAACCTAGAGAAAACTACTGAGAAAGAAAATAGAGGCAATCATCGATTTGACAGTCTGTTTGAGAGGGACTTCCTAAGAGGGACTCTGCATTATTTTAAAAATACTTCATTGATAGCTTTGAAGCATACTCAGTCTCTGAATGCTGACAAGCTGAATGCCACCACATTGCCCTGCTGCAGGAAAATTTATCCATATAGAATTGTGAAATTTTTCGATGGCTTCACATGCAGAACTTCTATTAAAAATCACTTAAGAGGGCTGTTCTACTTTAGCCCCAATTTATTTTAATGTTTGCCTGCATTGTGTGTAACCTTCTCCTAGCTGGGCAATAATTGATTCATTTCAGAGTCAAAGGCCGAGATCTAAAAAACCTTATAATTTTGCTACTAGATTTTTACTGTATCAGATTAAAAAATAATTAAAGGACTTGATTTACCTTAAGAAGTCTGAAGAAAAGAGTATTTTCCATTACCAATTTTTTTTTCCAGTGGCTTTTCTAGGCCTTTGTATAATCGGACAGTGCAGAGGTCTTACTAAAATGGAGAGCAGCTAGTTGAGACTGATGAACGTAACAAACTCATATGATCTCATCCTCCTTAACGACACTGGAAGGATAAAAATTGATATCAAAGAATTGGACTGTGGCTTACTCACAGTAGCATTTGCAAAAGTAGCTGTTAACCAGGATAGGGACTACATTAGTGTTTTTCTCTTGGATTTTTTTTCCCCCTCAATATCTTTTTTCCAAACCACGCTGCAACAAGCAAGCAGCTGAGGGTATACAAACAATTCTAGTAAGGATAGATGCCAGCAAAATGCTCCAGATCTAATACACTTTGTATTATAGTCTGGGTTTCAGTGTGTTTCTAAACAATTATTAGACCTTTGCTAGAGGAACTGAGTGCCCAGCTCTCCTCAGTCAGTATCTCTTTGCAGGTAGCTACAAATCAACATATATTAAGGAAGAAGGGTACAGGTCTACACCTTTGCTTCTGGGTTCTGTCAATTAAGGAATTTTTTAAACAGCAGCCAACAGTTGGAGGTTCAAGGATTAATTATGAGGGAAAGGAGAGAGAAAGAGCCATCTTTTCCTACCTGTAACAAAGAAGGCTAATTTACAGCAGATTCATCTCTCTGATTTTTTTTGCCATTTCCAAAAATGAACTCACAACTGCCAATCTGAGATGCCTGGCTTTCCCAGCCCCTTTTCCTGTCGTAGCTTGCAGCTGCAAGTCTAGATCTCTGCTTTGAAATGTAAACTTTGATTTCCTGATGTAATTGCATAATGGTGTCTTCCCCCATCTCCTCGGGTAGGTCCGTGTGTTTGTGAACCAGCTGTACCAGCCGGAATCCGTGAGGGATGTGAAGCAAAACCCTGACCTGCAAGCCATCCGCATTGCCTCAGTGAACCCCATTTTGGACCCATGGGTGTACATCCTCCTCCGCAAGACTGTGCTCAGCAAAGCCATTGAGAAGATTAAATGCCTCTTCTGCCGCATTGGAGGGGCTCGGAGGCAGCACTCGGGGGCCAATTTCAACTGCGTGGATGGCCGCAGGACCTCCTCCGCCATGTCCAGTCAGTCACCCTCCTTCATCTCCCGCGAGCTGAGGGAGATCAGCAGCACCTCACAAACGCTGCTCTATCCGCCCGAGTTAAGCGAAAGCAGCGTCGGGGGCCGCGTGTTGCTGCCAGGCCCCAGTGCCAGCTTGGCTCAGTCTGACACCACGTCAGTAAGGACTCTGCGCAGCTTGGAAACCTCGGACTCTTCCCAGGGACAGGACTCTGAGAGCGTCTTCCTGGTGAATGAAATCGGGTCTGGTGGTGGGGCCAGCTCTACACCCAAGGGCAGCCCTCTCCAGGTCACCTTCCCCTCAGAGACACTGAATTTGTCAGAAAAGTGTATATAGATAGCCATGAAAGGCATCAACCCTGGGGATATTTCCTGATACATTGGAAAAACTGGTGCAATAGATAGGTGTTCTGCCTGTTCGAGGGGAGAGGGGTTCAGCTGTGCTCCAAAGGGCTATTCTTCTCTTGCCATGTGATGGGTACATTTATTTTAGACTACTGAGGACTGTGTGGAACAGACACTGCACATGGGCCCTGCCGTCAGAAATGGTACAAGGCAGGTCTAATGGGACTGGAAACATGAACTGCCTTGTCTTGTTCTGGGACACAGGAGAGCTGCTGGGCCTCTGGAAACAGAAAGACCCATCACTTTCTTTTTTCTTTCTTTCCCTTTCCAAATCTGGTAGAACTGTGTTTTCTCTCCCCATGGTTGCTCAGCTATCAAGAGTTAAGCTTCTGGTACTAGAGCTGAATGTGAGGCAGCTGCTAGGAACTGGACAGAGCTACTCTGAGAGCTGCCTGGGGCAGGATTTTAAAGTGTCTCACTAAAGCATGAAAATGTGAATTTTTACCATTGTATATATATCAGGATTGAAAATATTTAAAAGTCTATTCTTCTCTATGAGAAGGTTTTTTATTAATACAAGGTATATAGAAATGATTGCCAGCCTTCTCTTCTTTTGATAAGACGTTCTTGGTTTAGATTTGTTATCCATGCTAGATTCACAGCTGATGAGGTAATTCTCTAGCTGAGAACACATAAGCACTTTCTGAGTGAAATGGGAATATGTGCGCTATTAAGACAGAAAAAGAAAACACATCCTTTCAGTTAAGAATATTCCTTTTCAGTATATGTACATACTAAAAAGCCAGATTTTATTTATGTGCTGAGAATGTTTCTCTGTATAACACATCTGCATCTCACAAAGTACTTTGGCCCATATTCTGCACACACTTAGGTAAACACTTAACACCATCCATCAGAGTCATCCCTCTGCTGCCAGGGAGACTCCTTACATGTAAAGTTAAGGTCATATAAAAGTGCTTGCAATATCAGGGCCTAAAACTTTCAACCTGTTAATAGTCTTAATATTCACTTTAGTTAAAGCATCACGGATGTAATAAAGGTATTTTTTAATAACATTTATCATTTTAGTTTAAATAGTAAATAGGATTTTATGACTGTGTAATCTGATACTTCCATCAAATAAATGTACAAAACCATGGAAGCAGAATCTTCATTTAAAAGTATAGGTTATATAGAAACATATGGTGGTCTTGCACTCCTTGAAAATCATTTGTTCCTAGAGTTTTAATGGCAAACACATCACCAAACCCAGCTGTTAAACACTGACAAAAAGGAGGTTTGTGTTTTATGTTGTAAGGGTTAGATCTTGTTCCAGAAACTGTTTATCAAAATAATTCTGTATAGATATTTGGAGGATGTTTTGTCAAATACTAAGCATGTTATGCTGCTTAAAGTGTTTTCATGTGAAATGCTTTATTGTAATCTTGAGCCTTATGTTGATACATTTAAGCAGTTGTACTGACCAAACTAATTTTGGGGATCACAATTAAATGGAAATGTTCTGCTTGATCTCAGAAGTTTATATAAGTCTGCCATTCAGTGCAAGCCCCTCACCTTAACAAGCCTCCCATGTTGGAAGGCTTTGTGCTCAGCTGCCATCAAAATACACTTCATTCTGTAAGTTTCCAAAACACCACAGCATGATCACCATCAGTGAGGGTCAGCCATCTTCAAAAATGTCCCCAAGAGTACCAACATAGAGCCATGAAAATTCTTCCTGCAAATAAACAAAAAATAAACAACTACACTCAATTAAATTTCAGGCCCGATACATTACTTTCCTCTAACAGGGGAGCAGTTGAGCATATTTGCCTTGATACGTGTAGAAAGTGAACTTAAATCTCTATGCAAATATTTGCAGCAGTAAGCAATTTTTGACCAGTTAAGCTGGAGAACGGTATTGAGTACTCGAGTTCCTACTGCAGCCACAGATAAAGATCTGCCCAAATTCTTTGCAATTAAACCATTTAACTATTGTCTGTTGCTTACTAGTGATCAACAACTAGAATACACTCGTCGTACTTCCCAAGACAATAGTACCTGGCGGAGTGGGAAGGTGGGACTGCCACCTGCAGATACACCACCAGTACCAATACTGGACCACACTTTTGCAGCTGGCCTGAAGCAGCACACCATTGCTCTTGGTACTGCATGCAATGACAGAATTAGATACCTCCAAGCAAGGTTTTACTATGAGTATTTTTTAATTATTATTTTATTAATAACATATTGTTAATATGATTCTATTCTTTCTTATAGTTACTGATAAGACATACATGTTGTATAGAAGAGCTTTAAGCAAGAATAGACCATCTAAAGCAGCTGACCTCTAGCTTCCCTTAGCAAACGCACGATAAGCCCGAGGTGTTCCTCCTACCCACAGCTTTACTGGTGTGTCAGCAATGGACTGGACTCACAGCACACATCATCAGCAGCACTAACTCCCTCAGTAATGAATTCAAGGATTCACAGCCAGCCCACAGATTACAAAGTCTCCAATACTGGAACTGCCTGCCACAAGTCAATGGCAGCGCACAAAGACAAAATGGCAGCACTTGTACCGCCTAGTTGCAAACACAGATGGGCGTTCAGAAGTAGCCTGGCTAAAAGGACTGGGCAAGTGTGCCTCTGTTTAGGGTGACAAGACTATTAGGTCTCCCTCACCTGCCCAACAGACCTGTTTGGCTTTGGCACCTTCCTCCACACTGACCACAAACACATTACTGAATTATCTTCCTCAGCCTCCCTGAGCGTAAGTCTCAAAATACAGCTGCAGGTTTGTAGAGATTAATTTGCCACAAAAAGTTAAAAGAAAAGGTTATTTTACTGCTAGGCATTATGAGTAGCTTCTGTACATTCCAAAGCACTTCCCTTCTCGCACATAATAGCTCCCTTCCACTCCTGACACCAGAGATCCATATCCACCTTCCCCCAGCCCTCTACTTCTCATACCAAAAATTGTATCTCCCTGACTCCATCCTGCCAGTCCTGTGACTGGAACTCCCACTCCCTCACTTCCAGCAGTCTGTCCTGCCCAGACATCCCCTTCCACCGAGAGGTACTGCTAACCTGCAACCCCCGTACCACACCCCAGAACCCAGCCCCAGCTCCACTTGAGCCTCTGTTCTGTGGCACAGCTTGCAAAATCTACCCACCACAGGCAGGATGACAGCTAGTATCTGCAGGAGACAGTGGTTTCAATGAAAATTTGGAGATTAATTTGAATCTCTGATCAATAATATGTTAGCATTATGACTGGGCCCAGGTTTAGGGTGTAGGATGTAATGACAGAGGGCTTGAACTATAAGAGTGAGCTGTAGGATCCTGTTTTAAATCAAGTTTGTACACCTCTGCTCTCTGCAACACTAGTGCTGCCTAACCCAAATTGGAGCTCTGGGCACAATGCCAAAGCACCAACAAAATCAATGTAATCCACCATCTTCAAATGGCACCAGCCATCATCCTAACCAAGAAGCTTGATAACAGTTTTTAGTCCTGTTCCTAGACACAACGGCAAATCTGTTCTACTTAAGGCAGATCTACTATTAGAGCTACTAAATACTACTAGACCTTTTCAATCCTAGGCCTTCTTCTAGACTTGCCAGCTTTACCGAATCTGGAAACCAACCGATGTCTAAATCACCTGCTTTCTGAACCCAAATAGTCAACCCACTCCCCATCTCTAACTTTCCCCCTGATCATTTACCCTCTACAACTCTTAGAGCTACTAGAGTTGCAACTCGTAGAAAATCAGCTCTCAAAACCAGGCCAGGACATCTGGCAAGACCCAGGAATCATCCATGCTCATGAGCTTCTCTCACTTATAAACTAGCCCTCTTTGGAGATACCACAGGCCAAGGACTCCAGTCCATTCAAGAACATGATGTCAACATGATACCAACCTACGGTGTTTGCAACCTGCCAATAAACCAAGCCCACATGCTTCTGCTTTCCTGTGACCCAGTCCTACTACGCTTTGTTTTTTATAGCTATTATATGACCTCAAAATAAAAGAGCACCTGCCCTCAATATTAGTTATTACCTTCTTCCCCTTGGTTTTAGGATCTGCCTTGTATGGCCAGGTAAGTTTCTAATGCTACTTCTCTCATCTTGATCCCCAGCATCAACAGATATTCAAAGACAACTTTCAGGAACTAGAAGAGTAGAGGAAACATGTTACACTTGCCTTTTTCCCCTCCAGAACTACTTTTAAAGTCCAGTCTCATATGGTATTACCCAATTAGAGTCACTGTTGTGTTGTCTGATCCACACTTTTTTTTACCCTCTAGTATTGTCACAAAGGATTTATTCTTTCAGTATAACCTATATTTAGGTTTTTAAAGATACTTATCTCCATCTACAAGAGTGGAATTCATCTGCCCTGTTTCAGCATTTGCAGTTAACTGCCAGTCAGTCACCTTCAGCTTCCTTTGTAGTCAATGGAAATATTTAGGCACCTTTGGAGGGTGATTCAACTCATTCTAAGACATTTATCTAACACAAGGCACATGAACAGCCCTTTGAGGCTGTGTATTTCTTTCTGCTGGATATAAAGGGACTGAACGCGAAAAAAAATATATTTAAATGCTTAATTGTAGATTTTAAACTAAGCAGAATTAATCCACCTAAACTACTGTTGTTGTTGAGATTTTCCTTTTTACAATGTTGCAACACTTCAGCATTTTAATGTATGATTCATGTAGAAGGCAAACACATGAAAGCTACTGCAGCCATTGCCACTAGTGATGATGAAGAACAATAAATTCCTACTGGCAAAGGGGGGGTGTACTTCACAGATATCCTATTTTTGATAGCAAACACTTTATTCTTTGGTGCCTCTCATTTGGATAACCCTGAGAAATTTAAAAGGACTGGCCACTACCTTTTATTAAAGATTTTTCCTGAGACGTCTCTTTTTTTTTTTTTTTTTCAACTATAACACATACACATGTTCAACAGAGCTAGAAGCAGCCAACTGATTAAATGAGAAACATTCTAAAAGGGTCAATGGTAACCCTTACTCTTGTTATAACCAAAAGAATAAACAGGCATCAGTAAGCAGTGGAGAAGTCAGTATTTTATTCAAACGATCCAGAAAATCCCATACATGCGAAACATGGCATGCTGTATAAAAAACAACGTTGAAATAATCAATTTTTGAACTTCTCCCCAGTTTGAGAATAACAGTGTCACGAGAAGTTATCTGCTCTACAGTGCCCTACAAGACACTACAGTTCTGACAATAACTAGAATTCATAACCTAATCTAATCAGAATGAAAACAAATCTAGTACAGGAGCTTGAAGCAATCATCCCTCAAACCCAGGATGGCTGTTCTGCCTGATGGTGTAGATGCACAGCCCTCCATTAGTTTAGCCTAGCAGTGCTGAAGTCAATAGGAATTTTATGAATCACTTCAGTGGAAACAGATTCTGTGATAACATGGACCTCTGAAAGAGGGGATGCAGTCCTTCCTGTGCGAGTAAATACATAGCGCTGATGCAAGTGTAAAGCGCAAAGAAAGAAAAGATGTGTTGGATTATAGCTGAGCTCCTTGAAAAGGAAAACATACTTTGCAGCTCTTCACACACTTCATTTTCTAGCCAGAGAATGTCTCCTTTGAAGAAATCTGTCTAAATCACTCTCATACCAGCTCTTCGTATTGCTGAACATATAGTATTATTTAAGTTTATACTAAAAATAAGATTAAGAAATTCTTCAACAGGCACAATATAAACCATCTATCAAACGACATCTTAATAAAATGCCTATTCGGTAAGCATTTAAGATCTATTTCTGAACTCCACAAACAAATAAAAAAGTTGCATAGTGATGTTTTACATTTCTTAATATATTTTAGTCTCTCTAATTAGAATAATTTTGAATCACAGAATCATCATCATAGAATCATAGAATGGTTTGGGTTGGAAACAACCTTAAAGATCATCGAGTTACACTGTCCCTGCCATGGGCAGGGACACCTCCCACTAGACCAGGTTGCTCAAAGCTTTATCCAGCCTGGCCTTGAACACCTCCAGGGATGGGGCATCCACAGCTTCCCTGGGCAATCTCTTCCAGTGCCTCACCACCCTCACAGTAAAAGATTTCTTCCTACTATCTAATACAAATCTGCCCTCTTCCAGCTTAAAACCATTACCCCTCCTCCTATCACTACACTCCCTGATAAAGAGTGCCTCCCCATCTCTCCTATAGGCCCCCTTCATCTACTGGAAGGCCACTATTAGGTCCTCCTGGAACCTTCTCTTCTCCAGGCTGTACAGCCCCAACTCTCTCAGCCTGTCCTCACAGGGGAGGTTCTCCAGCCCTCTGACCATCTTCGTGGCCCTCCTCTGGACTTGCTCCAACAGATCCATGTCCTTCTTATGTTGGGGGCCAAGAGCTCGACGCAATACTCTAGGTGGGGTCTCACAAGAGCAGAGTAGAGGGGGAGAACCACCTCTCTTGACCTGCTGGCCATGCTTCTTTTGACGCAGCCCAGGACACGGCTGGCCTTCTAGGCTGCAAGCGCACACTGCCAGCTCATGTTCAGCTTTTCATCTGCCGACACCCCCAAATCCTTCTCCTCAGAACTGCACTCAATCCATTCCCCGCCCAGCCTGTATTTGTGCTTGGGATTGCTTCAACCCATGTGCAGGACCTTGCACTTGCCCTTGTTGAACTTCATGAGGTTGGCATGGGCCCACCTCTCAAGCCTGTCCAGGTTCCTCTGGATGGCATCCCTTCCCTCCAGGGTGTTGACTGCATCACACAGCTTGGTGTGGTCAGCAAACTTGCTGAGAGTGCACTCAATGCCACTGTCCACGTTGCCAACAAAGATGTTAAAATGACACTGGTTCCAATACCAGTCCACTGGACCCCTGAGGAACACTACTTGTCACCCGTCTCCACTTGGACATTGAGCTGTTGACTGCAACTCTTGAGTGTGACCATCCAGACAGTTCCTTATCCACCGAGTGCTCCTTCCATTAAATCCATGTCTCTCCAATTTAGAGAGAAGGATGTAATGTGGGTCAGTGTCCAAGCTTTTGCATGAGTCCAGGCAGAGGATGTCAGTTGCTCTTCCCTTCTCCTATGCTGTAACTCCATCCCCGAATATTAATAACAGGAGATGCTAAAAACCATACATTTTTGTGTGTGAAAGCATAGATGTAAAAATTCACATATATACAAAAGTATATTCTGGAAGAGTCTAATAATAAATAATAAAACTTAGTAAGTTTTCATTATTTTACTTATAATAATAAAACTTAGTAACTACAACATGGAATCAAGCTTTTGAAAGGAATAATTTATTTCTGCAAAGACTGTAAGTGTCCTCTTAAGTAAAGATATTCAACTGAAAGTATGATCTAATGATTTTTCTATAATACACTTTCTACTGAAAAAATCTCTATGTTTCTCAAGCAACATTATTTCCTTTAAAAAGGTATTATTTTGAAAACAGAAATCAGATACGCAAAATGCAAAAACAACTGATTTCAAAAGGTTTCATTTGTCTACAAAATTATTATTGAAATGTTTTTATCATGCAAAATGTTATAAAAATCAAGTAGAAATTATGTGTTCCCAATTTTGAATTCTCCGTGAATTCTTTAACTGACCTTTTTTTCCAGTCCGGCTAGGAGGTGACCATCTCTACCATGTCTCCAAGACAATGGAAAGAGCAGTCTCAGCACAGAACACATCAAAGAAACAGTGCGGCTTTGTTTCTCTGAACTTCTTGTGTGAGGAACCAATGGCCACCTTCCCCTGAAGAAAGATCAACATTAAACAGATCTCCTACATTATGCCTCAAAGTTAACACAATGTGAATATCTACCACAGCATCCAAAATCCAGAAAAGGATAGAAACAGAGACTCAGGCAATGCTGTTCTGTAAAACTGGTTCATTAAGAACTTACTTTAAACGGCAGGTCATGAGAATTAGGAAAAAAAAACTGACTCCCTTTATCAGATGAGCCTCACTAGGAGAGCAAAGGCTAAACATAATACACTTCAGACATACCTGTTTCCAGCTCCCACCATTTTACTTTTGGTGTTGTCTGTAGCACAGCACTCAAGAAAAGAAAAGGCCAGTTTCAGTCTCAGCTGAATATTTTCTTCTAGTGAAACATTCAGGGGGCTTGTTTCGTATAGCATTTCCTTTCATCCAATCAGAAAGTGTTTAACCCATTAACCTATGAAAGCAACATAAAGGTTTCTACTAATTTCATTTGACTACAAATCACACGCCAGATCTATCACACACATACAAGAAACATAAAAATCACACAAGCAAAACAACAATCCAATTCTGCTTCACAGGAAACTTCTTCATAGAAAATTAATCTTAATGAAAATAAAGACTTCTCAGAAAAGAGAACAGTTCACACTTAAACTAGAAGATCATAGAATCACAGAATGATAAATAATGTTAATGAATAAGGACTGAAATAGATTTTTTTAAAAAACACGTTTACAGTTTAAATAAAAGCTTCTTAAATAAAGGGAAAACCTAGACATTAACTTGTAAAATTATGAAATACAGAAAGATTAAAGCAGCTGTCAGAACGTAGTTAAGCATTTTAACATCTTATTTGTTCATAAGATTTTTAGAATCAGCTCTTGGCTTTCTTCTCCAAAAATATGGATGGAACAACAACTCAGGTCATTGCTTTTTCAATTTACAAGAGAAAAATAATTGAGTTCTTTAACTTTTGTAAGCTCTCCCACTGCTTAAAAACAAAACCAAAGCCAGCACAATACAATAAATGACTCTCGTTCTTAAAACAGTACTGGCAACCCATAAGGCTGCCCTATCGGGCTCTGATGAAAAGGGTTTCATCAGGAGTTGTTGGACAATTCTCCTTCTCAGTAACAGTCTCTACTGTGCCTGAAGCAGACACAATCACTACCGTTTTAGCTGCTGAAACAGTTTTCTCCTTCTCTGCAATGGCAGCACAGACTGCCACAATTTCATCACTTTCAAAGTCATAGTCTGGGATTGATCCTTGTGTAAGCTCTTTTTCCTTAACCAGTGCTTGCACTGCCTCAGTCTTTGTTGCTTTCTGCTGTTCATGTAGTTTTCTTGCCCAGGAAAGGTCCTCTTTCCATACTTCAGGGTTCATTGGAAAGATGTGTAGGGATACCTGGAAACTTCGGATTGCCTATAAACAGAACAGGTAAGAAACAAGGATTGGAAACTTTAAAGCCTACATATTTCATCACAGACATTAAGAAAAAAACCTACATTATTTATGTACATCATTCAAGCAAAGACAAAAGTGATTTTACTGCAGCCTGTCTTTAGTGGAACAATCCCCCCTCAGCTGTGAGTTCAAGAGCACTGTTACCCCCAAACAACTGTGCATATGAGTGTCTGAAAGTACCAAGAACTCATAAACAAATCAGGTACCTGGCAACAAGGGCACAAATAAGAGTTTGCATAAATGTGAATATAGCATATTCATATAATATATAATGAAATATAACATTTATATTATAAATAATTAATTAATTAATAATTAAAAAGGTAAAAGCAAAAATAAATTTTTGATCATTTTCTATCCCACTTTTCTCCCACCATCAGATGTATGGGAAGGCAAAAGTAGACAGATATGGTTTAAAGAAATACAGAAAAGGGATGACTGGGATTTGAAATATCACTAATATTGCTGCTTTTAAATTAGCATGTAGTCATTTCACATACAGACCTACTACTACAGTAATCCTAGCCCTGTAATAAATAGTTTATCTAACAGGTTTGTAGTTGCAAATGCACTTACCTAAACAGGCAAAAATAGACAACTAATATCCCAACATGGAGAACTGCACTAAGAAAGAACTCCTATAATCTTATAAACCATGTAATATTAATACTGTTTCTCCTGTCTTTCAGCTCAATTGGGAAAAGTTCCACAAGTACAAATATGCAACACAGAAGTTGTTAAATATAAAAAAATGTGACCATTTAGTCCAGTAATAATAAGAGATTGCTACAACACTGGAAAAATGCTAAACCAAGAATTACAGCAGTGTGGGATTTATAGTTCTATTAACAGTGAAAAGGTCAAGACTGACCTTATCTACTCAGAATTATCACTACGTTCACACAGGCATGTGTATTTCAATTTTATGGCTATACGGTCAGTTATTGAAATGGCGACCTGGGTGACCAAACTCTTACATGACGATGTATAGAAGCCTTCCTGTACGGTGGGAAAACAGTGATGATATGGATTTGGATTACGTTTGGGAAGAGTTCTAACAACATGCATATAAAGACTTTATAAAGACGTATGAACAACCATCAAATTCCATATTCTGTTTTAATTTATAAATACTTAAAGCATGCAAATTAATTTGAAAAATCACAACTTTTCATCTGCACTGACAGAAACTGCCAATTCATCGTTCTGCTGCACAGATTAATACACAAACTCCGAATGACGTGAACTCAGCAGACAAAAGATACAAATCAGATTTAAGAAATACTGATTATGCTATCAGTATTACTGCTGTTGTAATAGGCAGCCTTTCAGTTCCAAGAAAAAAAAAAAATAGTACTTTATTATTGGTCCACAGCCAGCTCTGAAGTGTAGGAGCATAATGAACTTTGAACAGAAGGAAGAGGGCAGTTTAATTCTTGCAACATAGTGTCATTTTATTCAACTTTGCCTCCTTTTAATTTCCAGGAGTAGATGAGCTACAAGTAAACAATAAATGCCCTTTTTTTTTTGGTATTTCTGTTGAAAACAAAACATAAACAAACACCATCTGCTTTTAGGTTTTCTGTAAAAGAGGCTCCCTAATTAAAACCTGTCTATATAGTTATATTCATGCACATTAAACAACATTACATACAATAATCAAATATAATTATAAATTAATCACTTAATAGGCTTAGAAGATGCCTTGACTGCCATACAACACAGCATGGAACAATCATCTTTGTAAATCTATTAGAAAAAAATTTTGTGTGTGATATTTTACAAAAAAATAATAATAATTAATAATGTAAAACTTAAGTGCTGCAAAAGATCAGAGGGATTAATTTTAAAGAAGCAATGTAATACTGAAAAATACAGAATTGTCATCCACATAAAATTTACTTTTGCCACTGCTTTCACAGCCATTGATTTCTAGTAACACAGAAGAAACAAAAATAAGTGCTACTTTTAATTTTCCTGTGATGGAGATGTAAATCTTCCTCTCCAACTGCCTCTCTGGTCTTACAGAAAATGTGGTGACACTACACAAACTGGGTGTTTCTAGCCCCATTTTAAAGGGCAGCTGTGGTCTTAGAGACCCTGCATGTAAGGGCTATGGGATTTTAAATCAGTATGTCATCACACATCTGCTTTTGCTTCTGTAAGGAAGAGTACTATAAAATCTACTGCAAGATGTTCTCGCTTGCTGAATTACAATATTTGAAGAATTTATATTTTTAAAATATTTTATATTTTGTTTCACTATAGGATAGTCTGTAGCAAACAATCTTTCATTTGTGCCATGAGCAGAATCTCTTCC